ATTTGCACCAATGGCTGAGCAGATAATTCTTTGTTTTTCCGACGGGTTGATTGATTTATTAATTTTATTAATATTCGCTACTACGAGTTTTTCATCATAACATGATATCGGAACGGCTTTTGCAGATGGAATTCTAGAGATTAGTTCAGTGACTCCCATAGCTTTTCCTGCGAGATGTTTACTTGTAAAATTAAAATGTAAAAATCTATCTACCGATATTGTTAGTCTGCTATGATATGTTTTGTTTCCGTAGTCAGTTGATAGGGCTGAAATTAGTGCTTTGTGGTCTGTGATTATTTCAAAATCTGATCCGTAAAAGTAATTTTTATATTGTTCTACGGCCAAAACAACTCCTAGCAGTTCGAGTTCGTTAGTGGAATATTTTGACTCATTTGGATTTAAAAACCGTGAAGCAGAAGAAATCGTTTTCTAATCACTCCCGTGGAGTTGTTCAAGGGAAGCCTCCAACCCATTGTGCGAAGCGTCAGTTTTACTCTATTATTACATTTTCCGTCAAAATGGGTATTTTCCGTGAGGTTGATGATACCTTGTTTGATTTTCTCATATGCTTTCGTCGGAATTCCACTAAAAGATCGATTTCTTATTTAGCTAAGGACGGAGTGGGCTTCTTAAGGAAGCTATGTTCGGGCCGAATTTGATGTACTGGTTTATAGATCCGAAAAATGATCTCAATTCTTTCAAATTTTTTGGAATAAGTAAGTCCTCTATTACTTTCATTTTATCAAATAAAGGGGCGATTCCTGTGTTTGAGATTTTAAATCCCAGCCATTTGATTTCTTTTCGAAAGAATTTGCATTTGTCCATTTAACCGCGAACTTATATTCGTATAATGTAGATAAAATTTTTAACACAAAACTCTTGTGGTCTAAGAAGGTTCCTTTGGAAGCAATTAAAATGTCATCTAAGCAACAATTGGTAAATGGGATAGAACCTCACGTTGAGTCCATTACTCTTTGAAATTTGTTAGGCATATCGCCTAGACCGTTAAAAGTTGGTATGTACCAGTAAAATCCTCGCCCACAATACTAAAATTACATTGATTGCTGGTAAACTTAAAATGCAAGTTGACTGTATGCGTTTTTTAAATCTAAGTTAGTAAACCACACTTCTCTAACGGAATCACTTGCAATTTGTGCCGTGACATTGTCTACTAATTCATGAATATTCGGCATTTGGTATTTGTTCTTGTATATTTGTTTATTAAAAAACTTTGAAACCAGAGCCAACTTGATAGATTTGTCTTTTTTACAAGTAATAACAACGGGGCTGATAAAACGATCTTCGTCGCAATTTTCTAATTTGTTAATATGTCCTTCGTCTTTTAATCTGTTAAGTTCGGTTTTAACTGAATCCAGAAAATGGAGGGGGACTCATCTTCCTTTTAGTTGGATAGGTTTTAGAGGTTCGTGAAAATGGGTAATTTTCTTCTGGTTTTTTATTTTTCCAATCCGAAGGAATATGTTTTTAAATGTTTTGATATGTTTATGATTTCACTATCTTTGTCCGTTGGTGAAATAGAATTTAGGGACATACACGGCTCGTTTGTCTGGAATTGTGCAAAATATTTCTGCGAGACTTCTATCCCCACTTTGGGCAGGTTGTCTTTTCCGAGAATGTTTCTCTCATATCCCTCGGTCAAAATTAAATGACAGTCGTTGTTTGACCAACCATTAAAAAAAATCGGAAGTATCTTTTTTTTCCAGAAATATTTATAGCGTTGTCACTAAATCCACGGTACAAATCCTTAGTAGCTTTGTCCGCCGGATAGAATTTCAAGTAAGGGTCTCGAAGTTTCAGTTCGTATAATACGTTCTTCTTGAGAAAGCTAACTGGGCTAGCTGAGTCCACTTGTATCTTTAAAATTACTTGATTTTTTTTTCCCGAGGCCAATTTTTATTAGTTTTTTCAGATCTTTTCCGTCGTTGTTGAAAATGGTAGTGACACTTAATACAGAAAAATTTTTGCTTTCACTTTGTCCAGATTCTGACCATGCGTTTATGACGCCACAACATTCTCTATATACATGGTCTGATTTACATCCGGGAGATCCGACGGATTAAAATCTGTTTTATCTACAGTTTGATTATTTACAATGTTTAAATTTTGGCGACGAGATTTACAAAATCTGGTAAAATGGCCTTTGTATTTACAGGATGTACAAGTAGTATCCTTCGCCGGACAAACTTCTAGGTGTCCTTTTGAAAAATTTCCGCCGCACTTCATACAGGTGTTGCTCCTTTCTATATTGAGAGTTGGTTCTGTTTTTACAGTAAAATGGCTGTGCGGTTTATGTACAGATGATCTGTTGGATTTAAAATTGTTTGTAAATTTTAGGTGGTTTAAAATTCCCTTTTCGTCGATGAGTGCTATGTTCAGAGCTTCTCGTGGAGGAAGAGTTTCGGTTAAAAGTTTCGTAGTTTTTCATGTTGTTTATGAAAATATATCTGATCCATTCTTCTTCTTCCACGGCTATGTCAAACTTTTTAGCCATTTCAGCTAGGGCTCCCCAAAACTGTTCGAGTGACTCTCTGTCCCCTTGTTTTCGATTTAACAATTTGTGCCGTTCTTCCTGACAAAAGCGGTTGCTAAGTAATCTCAAAACTCTTTAATTGAAATTTGCAAGATTTTTACCTATGTGAATTTTTGTCCAAAATTTTTTTTCCTTCGTTTCCTAGAATTAGGTACAGAACTGATCGTAGTTTTTATCTGATTCCTCTGATCGCATTCCATTAAATTTCTTGCTTTCTGTTTTAATGAGAGCGGTTTCTTCCTCGTCGTAACGTCTTTGTTCCTGTACATTCCTGTCGATTCTCGACTTTCTTTGGCTTTCCGTTTCGCCATCCAACGGATTTTCCAATTTTGGAGGTTGAGGATCAGGTCTTTCCGAAGGATTTAATAGATTTTTGATATCTATATTTTCTTTAGCGATAATAGCTAAGTGAAAAAGATCGCTCCAATCTTTTCGGGGAATTGGGGGATCTACGGTATGGTTTTGCCAAAATGGAGGTATTCCTCTCACGTTAGATTTGTTATTTGACTGCGCCATGTTAAAATATTACTTTGTTGTAGCTAAATCTACTTTATACAATTAAAAGAAAAAAAGAATAAAAGTGAATTAGTCTAAAGTTAAAACATTAAAAAGTGAAGAGAGCATTCTGTCCGCCGGAAAGAATGGCAAGTGAAGGTCATATGTAAGTGACCTGTTTACTGATTAAGTTAAGTAATAATTGCAGTAAGTGCAAAATAAACTAAAAATCATTAAGGATGACCACTGTTTCGATGCAAATTTTACCTTTAATTCTTTTCTAGAATGGTAAGAATCTAATTTTTTCACGCAGCATCAGATTTCAGAAGATAACGCGTACAAAGTCAAATCACCCACCACATTGAAAGATTGACCCACCAACCGCAACTTGATCGATAATAAAATTTTTTGAGAAAACTGCCTTGAAGTTCAAAAAAGTGGTCAGAATCATGCTTTTTATTTCAACTATTCAACAAAAAAATGAAGAGTGCTGATTTTTGATTTTTGAGCGGTTTTTTTTTCAGATCAATTGTTCAAAGAGAATTTCAAAGTCCGGATTATTGATTTTTTCAAGTGATATAATGCAGCTATGCAGATATGAGAGTTAATGCAGCTTTGAAAGTACGTAAGCTTCTCTTTTCTTATTTGGAAAACTTCATCTTCCAGTAAAACCCATAACAAATTATTATCACGCTGATAAAGTTTTTGCAACTTGATATCAGACACACTAATTGTTTATATCAGTTCCATATCAGAGTTTTTAGAAAATGATTTCCTTAGTTTTGTAATTGTAGCTTCATATTTCTTAGAGTTTCATATTTTATCCAAAAAATATTGGCAACTTGATTTCAAATTTGAAAATCATTTCACAAAACTTTTATGTAAAAAAATGTAGGGTCTCAAATTAGGCAGTTTTATACAAATTGCGAGCAATACAAATTGTGATTTAAAGAGTATTTAGCGGCAATTTAATAAGTGAGTGAGAAATGTGAAAAAAAAACTTTCAGTTTTTATCAAATTTCATTTCCTTAAATTTTAACAGAAGAATATGTTCTTGACATAGACGTTGAAGGGACGTCGGAAAATTCAAGGCTATGCCATGATACGAACAGTTTTGTTATTCAGACAATTGAAAGCGGGGATAAACTTTTGTCTTTGGGTATGTTTTAGTTTTTTGTTTTTTTTTACCAAGCAAAGTTAGTTGCCATTGGATCGGAACAAGTCGCATGATATGTCATTTTGTTGAAATTGTAGCCGCGTTTTGAGCCATTTTAAACAACGATCGAAAAATTTCTCAGTGTCGAGAAAAACGAATATAAAAATTTGTTTTTTGGTCTAATTCCGAGCCACTTAGGAGGCACTTAGCAAAGTGGTAAGGCGTTCACTTCAAGGTCGTCAAATCGTGCAATCGATCCCCTCTCACTTGACCTCTAGCTTCAGGACTACCACACCCTGACTGATTACGGCTGCAATAAAGGCACCTCGTAAAAGTTGTAGACAAAAACAAAACGGCCTTGAATCGCAAAAAAAGAGCTTCGCTTAACAAAATAACTCAGTCTGGAATGTGGGGAAATAAGAGATAAGCACTATGCTTAGACAGGCTGGATAGCCTTTCATAGAGCCTCCACGAATCGCAAAAACCACAATGATTATTATCATAATTATTATGATTATTGGAGGATAAAACTTAATATTTTTCCTCAAGCCTAAAAGCCTAATTTTTCCCCATTTTGCTTACTTCACTATGACTATCAAATTTTGCTAAGTTTTGTAAATTTGTTCAGATCCTTTTGTCACCGAAAAAAAAGCACACTAAGTTGAAAATATATATATATATTTTTAGGTTTTATTGCATTTTTTGTTAAAATTTAGTTTGAATCTCCTGTTCTAATTGCACAGCAATCGGCTATCCTATTTTCTGTACTTATTGCTTGAGACTGAAGGTAAAACTGGATACGTATTGGAGAAATTGTATTGCACCTGAATAGTTTAAAAATATAATCTATAGAATGTATCGGAATCAGCAATGAGCGATAATTTACAGTTGTTAACAAATTAATGTTTTAACAGTTCAAGGCAGTGGCTAATTCGACGTCTTATGTCATCATTTTTGCGTAACCTTTTGATGTGACGTAACAAATTTTTAGAATTACGTGACCATTTTCAAAAACAGTTTATATTGCGCAACATTCATTCATTCGCACCATTTGTTACGCAATTAGACGGATCTGTCAATGTTCAGAAGTACTTCACACCAAAGCGGACATGATGAAATTTGTGTTCTGGTATATCCGGGTCCAAAACCCTTCGCGAAGCTGATTTTGATCGAGTACGGGTCAATTGGTTGATTCTGGGTCGCTTTTCGATAAAATGGGAAAGTTTCTGGGTTGAATATTCTCGCACATGTGCCGGGTTCTAATCGTATTATGACCGACTGTCGCTCGGCGCAACTTGGGTCGAAAGTCATTGTAGCCGAATGGACGAAAACAGGTCTTTCATCTTGGTTGAACAACCAAATTTCACCATCATTACAATGTGATAAAACAACACCTGAGGTTATAATTTGATGATAGTTTATCGGTTTTGTTTCTGGGCGGGATGTTATTGGGCGAAATTCGTTGGGGTTCGGACCCGATTGGGTTTTTATTTCATCCAATATCAATCTTTCGCACGTTTCACTTGTCGGCTCACTGACTTCAGGTGTGAATTGGCGTGAACAAGCAATGATGACGTTGTTTTTGTGCACGGTTTGTAGGGGGCCAACTCGGTTCCGTTTTTCCCAGAATGCAATTTTAACCCAGGGTGAGTCACGGTTACTTTGAGAAGAAGAAGGGTCGTGTTTGTAATAGCACCAGCCTAAAAGCAACAAAAATACATTATGACTCATGTAGGTTTGTTATTAAGTTTGAGGTTTTGCTCTTATGAAAAGTGTCTGACAAAACTTTAAGTATCGGTGGTACTAATTGATGTCTCCAGAAAATGCATGTGATTGCAAATGCATACAAAAAGCTGTTTTTTTTAAAATCATAGTCAAAATTATATATATTTTTCGTTTATATAGTTAAATTTCAGAATTATCTCAGCCTATATAATTTTATTGCAATTGCCATAGGAATACTGAAAATTGTAAGCCAAATTATCGTCATTTTTTTCTGAGATTATTAGTCATATATATATTTTTCAAAACTACCAAGGCGTGTGTGAAAAAATACCTCTAAGCTGCCGAATCTTTTTGCTTATCTGCGAAAAAAGCGCCGATAAATTTTCAGATCTTCGAAGCAAAAACGCTATAAGGATCCAATTAGGAGGAATCGCAACGTAGCCAATGGATAAAAAACTACCATTATTTTCAAATCCACAGGCTAATCGGCAATTTTTGCCATTTGTACCGTCTTTTACCGACTAATTTAGATTCTTATCGTATATTTTGTTGGGAAAATCACGTTTTTTACGATAAGTTTTTCTTTTTTTTGGTGGAAAATAATTGCGCTCTAGTTTTTCTTTCATCATTTGTTTTTCATTTTGCCTACAAAACTAATTTTCATTTCAAGCAAAAAAATTCAACGTGATTTACTCTGTTTTTAATAAACAAAGACTTATTTTCTTTGATTAGGTGCCTCTTGATTAAATAAATTGCGATTTTTCTGATTTCTAATTTCACACAGGTAGCTCGGAGTGCTATCGACTGATTAAAAGCCTTACATGAAACACATACAAGATAGATACAACCCCCCATGAAAGACATTTTGATGCATGTAACTTTTTATGATGTATAGATTCGCTTGATCTGATTTTTTTGTAGATTTTCAGTCTTTTTTGTGGCTTCTAATCAGGCTGAAAAAGCCATCAGGTGTAATTTGGATTCTCATTTTATCGCATTTTTTTCTTTTTTCCCTGCTTGATTAATGACAAGTGAAAACTTCACAAGCACGGGTTACAAAAGTGATTCTCTCCCTTTTTTCCCCTGGTGTATTTTCTCATTTTTAAAATTCCCCTCGACCTGTGATGCAGCTAATGCAGCGTAATTACAACTTTCATGATGCGGAATTAAAATTCCCAGCCGGGTGTCATTCAATCATCAATCAGGGGAGAAATCCCGCTGAAAATAATGAACTTTCCCCCTATTTTCCCCAGTTTTCCAGCAATCTCTCCCCTGAGCGACACAAATCGGCGCCAGCATGTCTGAGCCCGGCGCTTTCCCATCTAATCGGGACACCCTTCAATTTCAGGACACAAAACAGATTTTCCCTATTTCAAATGTGCCTTGAAATTCTCCCTCTAATTCCCTCTCGATTTTTGTTCACGATACATCAATAAGCACCCATTTTAAAAACCCATTAAAAGCTTACCCATTTCCTTGCTGCCTCTTAAAAGCATCCCTTTTCATTAAATTCCATCACAAAACCCATTCATTTCCCTATTTTTGTTCAAACTTTTCTTCGCCTCTCATTGTTAATTTCCCTCCCGGGGCGTTTTTTGTATTTTTTCTCAATTCTCTCCTCAATATCTCCCGTTTTTCCTGCTTATCTTTGGCAGAACTGAAGGCGTTGTTAGTGTTATTGAATTGCCTTCGAGTAGTTCTATACTTTCCCCCAGTCTGATTTCCTGTTCAAATAATGTTCACCCATTTTATCAGGATTTTTTGTCATGGTTGTCAGGACAACTACAGATAAAATCGATAAGGCATCCGCAAAATGCACTCATTTCCCTCCTTTAGTCAATTTCAATGGCATTTTTTCCAAATCAGCCTTTTCCCTGCCATTAAAATTTTATGTTCCTTTTTTATTATCTCGCCAGATTAAACTGAGAAAATAATGATATGCAACCTACTTTTTAACTTTAAGAAAGACAAATTATAATTTCGAAAAAAAAACATATGTAGGTCAACAAGTCCATTTGATACCAATTACACATAAAAATCATTTGATGTTTTTTTTGAAAACTCATAGGTTAGATATTGTAGTTTTTTTATTGTCAAATGATAAAAAATGATTAAGTTGCAACTTACGTTTAAATGGGATTGATGACTCGTTGTGGTTGTCCATAGTGGCCATACTATGGTCTATGTTTGGGTATGGCACTGGTCCATCGTATTCCTGCCCTCCCCTCACCCCTGGTCCTCTTTCTAGAACAATGGATGATGAACCCCCTCTCAACTCTGACTTGTCTTTTTCACTGCAGGATGTGTTTGTGTGTTCTGAAGTAGATGTTGAATCTGAAATTAAAAACAGAACTTTTTATAGACTCAGGTTTAAAAATTTGAATAAAGTTTGGTTTCAATAAGTTATAACAGTTGTCTTTTAATTGTTGAATTATCTAACTTACATGTCAAAATGCGGTCAAACGTTGCTTCTTTTTTTTCAAATATTTATGCAAAACTTATTTAATAAAAAATGAAACATAAAAATGATAACGATCAGTTGACCACGAGGTAAAAAACCAACATGCAAGCTATTTAACTCTTTACGAAGAATTTCTGATGTGCCTTAGTTAATAATTAAAGGCTCATTTTTGGTAATTTTCTTGGCTGGTTATTTTGTATTAAAATCTCAAGCAACGACCAAGTTTCAAATTATTTCCCAATAAAATCTGAAATGGGTTCAACCTTCAAGCTTTGTACAGTCGGTTTTATTTAATTTTGATTTTTGAATCTTAAGTCAACTTCATTAAGAATTCAAATGTTGTTTTTTTGAATACTCACGAGTTCTGTTGTGATGAATTGTTGTGTGATGCAATATTGACCAATGATGTGGATTGAAACATATGTTGGATATGTGGTTATTGCTCCCCCCATTAGCGCCAACACTTCCCCTCCCCCTCCCCCTCGCCCCACTCCCCTTCCTCTCAACAGTCACGTGTTCTGCCTCTCTTTCTCCGCCCTGCTCCCCGCAACACAGCGTGCCACCGGGATGTCGACTGTTCTGCGCAACGCAAAGTGGATTCGGTTTGAATATCGTGTCAGGTGTCATTGCGGAACGGTTAAAGTTGTGTAAAATAACAGCGAGCCAGTTCAAGATTCGTTCCAGCAATTCACAACTATCGATGCCTGACAGTTCTTGATGATCAGATTTTGTTGCTTTCGAAGACTCCTTGGACTTTTTGAGGCAATTTAGAACGTCCAATTTTCCAGATTTTGGCTGGTTTTTGGCGTATTTTTTGGGATCTATGGTTATGCACGTATATTGAGTTGCAGTTCTATTGATTAATTCGACCTTTTCTGATAAAATTTCAGAGGTTTTTCCAGAGTTTCGAGCCAGAAGCGAAAATAGGATTCGCAGATTGTCGTCTGAAAGGCTTTTCAGAAGTTGTAGAAAATTCTCGTTGTCGAATGAGCCGTTTGTTTTTTCATATTCAAAAATGAGTTTCAGTATCTGAAACACAAAACGAGAATAAACATCAGGTAAACGGAAGTTTTAACTGGTAATAAATTATAATGAAGTCTAAAAAACTGACATTTTTGGGCAGAGGAAATTTTTTGATGAACATCAGGAAAATAACACAAATCAGCGATTTTTTGCTGTTTTCACAATTTATAACTAATTTTAGTGGTTGTTTCTAGTTGTTATTCGTAAAGTAATATTATAATTTAGTGATTTTTGTTCGATATTTTTGTCTAACTTTTGTCTGCTGAGTTTTAGAAGTGAGAGTTAAAAGAAGAGAGGAAACGCCACGAATCGCTCTCAATTTCACTTGTTCACTGGTACAACAAAAGAAGCTTTTAAATCTGTTCAAGTTCCTCTGCGTCAAAATGTCTCAACTAAGTTCAGACTTTGAATCGATAGTCATTTTTGCACAATTAAAGTGCTAGATAACAATGCGCGAGATACGAGAACGTCGGCAATACTGTCGTCTATGATTCTGTATCTTCAGTTTTATGTAAGCTCCAGAATCCAATCGATAAGAAAGTTAGCGCCAACATCGAAACCGAAATATCCCCCCTACCTGTATTATATCCCATAGCCGTTTATCGACGACCGTGATTAGACGGCGGCTTAACACTTGACGTATTTGGTAATAATAACACGTTCTGGTTTGTGTATATGCTAATTAAAAAATAGGCGCCCGACAAGTTTGAGCTAAGACGCTTTGGCGAATATATCTGGCGGCGGGTATAGCCTGCCTACTACCGGCGACAACTACAAAAAGTACCTGTCTAAAAGCATATAGCAACGAATATAGCATCCCCCCACCTGAAGGAAAAAACCACTATGCCAATTTTCCCAAATTAGCTCCAAGCTAATAATCTCCTCAAAAATGCAAATCAACAGCTCAAGTTTCTCATTAGTAATTCTTCTCTAAGTAATACCTAATTGCAGTTTTCCGATGACGTGAAAAGAAAAATTTACCCTTGTTAAAAAGTTCCCTTTTTTAGAAATTTTAATCGAGGAATTTTTCAATGGTCTAATTGCTTTTCAGCAATAAAAGTATTAACCAGTTTTGTGAAGTTTAACAACGTCTAACAATAGGCTAAGTTATTGTTTAAAAAATGTAGAAAAACTACCTTTTAAATCCTAAGCCAACTTTTTGGGCTTTATTTTCCTTATTAAACACTTCACAATTTTCCTATTCGTATTTTATTGTACTTTATAGAAAAAATTTTTGTGGAAAAAAATCAACTGAGCAAAAAAATCATAAATAATTTGCAAATAAAGAAAAAACTAAAATAAATTCAAAAATTTATGCCAAAAATCAGCTCACAAGTATTTCATATTCATAAAAAAAAATTTTTTTTAAATCGAGCGCACAAGTATGAAAACTCAGCCGAAAAAGATGAAAACTCAGTTCGAATAATCAGTTCAATTTTGCGTTTTTCTTCAAAGGTGATTGCAAAAGTTTCGAATTACCTGCACCAAATAAATGAAGTAGAGAATGAACAAAAAAACTTTTCAGTTCAATTTTGAAGACTGTTCAAAAAATTAGAGTGAACAAGCAGTGAGTCAGAGACCCGCTAGAGAGCACAGCTGAGGTTAAATTAGATCACGGGCAAATTTCAAAGAGCGAATAGTACAAACTGGAAAATGGAAGACAAGAAAGTAAGACTGAATATCAATGGATCTATGGCTCCAAAGCCGAATCCTCGCTGACGCTCGAACGCTTGACGGACAGGCTAGTGACGCGTGATTAATAATTAACCAGTGTTTAAAGTGGCCTTTCAAGTAGTCCCAATTCTAAAACACTGGCGCTAACTTCCGTTCTAATCAGGTCTGAAAGTTGGATTTAGGCTCCGAACAAAATGCACACTTGAGAAAATCCGACCATACTTCAGTTCAAAGTCGCTTTGTGAAGCCAAGAAGCTATTAGGGATCGCGTCTGGTCTGAACTGAACAAACAGGAAGATGCGCTTGATTACAATAGGCCTGTTACTTACCAATCTGTCATATTTTTTGATGGAAGGGTATTTGTCTGTTTTCTTGGCCTGACTTATAGGTTGGTCTGTGACTGAATACAATCCTATTTTTAAAAATATAATATTTCAAGCTTTCCACTGTTTTGTGAGACTTTAATCGATCCAAATTGATGAAAACTAGATTTGAAAACTATTTGAAACTGATGAAAATATATTTTGAGAAATGAAATCGATACTTTTATTGTGGGGACAATTAATTGCTTCCTAATTACAGACACTTGAAGCTGCGCTGTTCTAAATATAGACTAACTTTGGCGCGAAAATGAAAGCGAACGTCGAACCTGCCAATTAACACGCGTTAGTCTGTAATTACAACTCAGATTCGTTCACAAGTCTAGACTGAACAAAAGTCAATGACCTATTACAGCCAGTAGTACTGACCCTCTAAGGCTCCTTAATCCAGAAGATTTGAACATAAAAGAAAACTTGGAACACAATATCGATAGAAAAATTCAGTTCTCGGAGAAAAGAGTAGTCTTTTTCCAGTTTCTCTTTGATTTCTACCGAAACACTTTTTCTAAAATGCTATTTGAGTTGACTTAAGCTGTTATAATTATGAAAACAGCAAAAAGCCAAATTATAGCCAAAAACACAAAATGGAAAAGAAAATTACTTAGAAAAAATGCTGGCATAAGAGCAGTTTTGCTGCAAAGAATAAATCAAATTAACTTACGTTTTTGATGAGTTTGCGACGATCAGCGCGCTTGTTTTTGGGAGCAAACTTCGAAGACAGTAAAGAAAGCATAAAATGAAATTTCAGCTGCTTTGCTGCTCATTTAACATCAATAAATTGTGTCCCCGGAATTGGAAAACGGAACAAGCAGAGAAATAAATGGGAGGTCGGAGTTGCAAAAGTTGTCAAAAGTTCATAAACTATTCATAAAATGACAGCTTGCGGTACGTTTAAACAGGAAATTTCCGTTTTCAGAAAAAATGCAACAAAATCTGCGATTGTCTAAATTTCGATCAGCTCAAAAACTCAAATTAATTGGATTTTGTTAGCTAACTTGGGCTTTTTTCAAAGAGAGGTCGAACAATTTTTGGGAGAGTTAAAAGGGTGAAATGATACAACCGCGACGTCTCCCAAACTACGGCAGAAATAATTTCACCGATGTTTTAAAATGGTAAGAAATAATTTTGTAAGAGAAAGTGAGCAAAATAATTTCGGATGTTGTTGTCAAAGTAACTATTCAAATATTTTTACAATGTCTGTTGCAGTTGGTTGATCAACAAACAACACGTAGTTTTCTTGTTCCTTCTTACAGTTTAACCCAAAATTATATACGGAGCTCTTTTCCAGAAGTAGCCAGCGAGCTCTGGTAGCTTGGTAAGAGGTAAAGAAATACAATCAACACTGGCGCTGTCTTAATGCGTCCGGAAAAGAGTAAAGTAGAACATGAGTGTAATCTAATTCTATCTGGATTTATGTTGTGGTTGGGGAAAAGAAAGAAAGGAAAGAAAGTTTGGAGTTAAAATCAAATTTACTGTCCTAATATTATTATTTCTCCGTTTGCTCTTAAGGGCCAAAGAAGAAAGAGAGATTTATGTTTATGTGCAAACTAGAACTAAGTTTAGTTTGACCGAATTTCGATTGGGTAATTTTGTTCACTCCGAACGGCCGATTTTTTCTTAAAATGGGTATAATTTCAGGGCTAAATTATTTACTATTGCAGTATTAGTTTTGATGATATGCTATTTGGTTGAATTAAGAAGCCTACTCAAGTCTTCTGAAAAGGAAAGATTTTAGAATAAATAGAGCGTAAAACTGAACTGAGTCTTAGTTCTGCCTGTCGGCTTAATAGACAGGAAAATGGGCGCTTCTAATTGGCTGAAATTTGGTCTAAATTTCGCGTATTGTTTGCCTTTTATTTAATTTCAAGCAGAATTGAGCATTTGTTTGTGATATTTGATTTCGATTCCATTGGATTTGGAATTTGATTTAATAATAAAGGCATTGGCGAAACGTGTGATTGTACAATAGAACAGAAATTCAATCTATAATGGTTTTGAAATAGCGGCAAGCATTTATAGCAAATTTTATTCAGATTTTTTTTTTCGTTTTTTTTTGCTCTCAATGATTGGAAAATGAGCTTTAAGAGGCACTGCTTTAAAATTGAAAGCGGAGGAATGATTAGAAAAAAGATGACAAATGAGAGGAATCGTAATGGTGGTATTTATAAACGTTTTAACATCAAGCAACTGTAACACTATAAGAACAAAACTAAACCATGTTCGAATGTTTCAATAGCTCAGCTTATAATTCTATATTGCAAACATACCAAATCATCAAAAACATTGTCATCATTTTCATCACAATCTTCGTTATAGTCATAAGATGTATACACGCTTGTAATGTAATTTAAACAGTTTATTTTACATTCGCTCTTTTCATCTCTTTTTTCTCTGCGATTTTTTGTCTGCTTTTATAAAATTACAATTCTAGTTTAGCGACAGTAAAACTATCTATTTTGGCAAGATTTAAGACTGCCATAAGCTCTCTATTTTTAAAGAAGCAGTGTTGGTTTAAATGATGGTCGGTCGGCCAATATGTCTTCAGTATTAACGGCGCTTCTTTCGTCTTCATAATTGTAATGCAGTGTTGATTCATTGGGATATTGATGCGTTTATATGTCTGCAAAATCTAGAGATACTTTCTGGAGATACTAGACCATTAAATAAAACGAGACTATAAGATGATGTTGATGATGATTATGGATAATAAAAAGAGAGGGAGAGATTTATCTTTTCTTTATTACCAGTAGTTGTGGAGATTCCAGTTAGAAATTGAGTCTCCTGGAATCGATTCAACTTAATCATATTGACTGTACTAGTCCCGACTAATAGAAGGCATATTATAACACATTAGCTCTTCAGTCATTTCTTCAGTGGCTGTCTGTCTTTGGCCGAGACGATGTTATTGAGACTACTAAAAAGTGAAAACTACTGAGCAAAAATTATGAGGGGAAGCTACAAAAACAGAGACGCTTAGATGATGTTTTGCTGTTTCGTCTCAACAATCTCCCAGGGATACAAATTGAATAATCAGAAAACAAGGAAAAAGTTAAGAAGTCTGATGAACAAACGCGAGACTAGCGTGAAAAAATAGTAGTTCAAAAACTGTTCAGTAATTGCAGTTACCCATTTAATTAGAGAAATCTCTTTTAAAATTATCATCAAACAATTTTAGTCAGCTGCAAAATTTGAATGAAACCAGAGCCTGCTAAAAAAGTGAATATCATTTAACTCGAAAACCAGTTAAAAAGATATTTCATTCGCCTACCTGTCAAAATATTTCTACAATAAAACACGATAACGATCATAAACATTTTTAAGGTTCGAGTTTGTCTTAAAATGATCGATTTATAGAAAGTAGACTCGCTACCAAATATTCTTTCGGAAAAAAACTAAAAACTAAAAAGTTTTGAAAGGAGTGGGATATCTTTTGAATAAACTTCGAAAGTTGAATGCTTAGAGATAAAAAAATATGACCGATAAAAACTCAATTGCAATTCTTAAAGAATTTTACAGTATCAAAATGAAATTGAAAATTTTTTAACTGCCAATCCTTACTAAAATAAAGCCAATTTCTGATCAAGCACCCTTATATAAGCTCTTGTGATCTTTTAAAGGGCTCTTGATCTTGGAAGCTGTTATAAATTGACATTAAATTCCCCTACAAATTAACCGCAATTGTGATCGTTGAGTAAGCTTCCTAGTTACCGTTGTGATAGTTCATTCTTGAATAGCTTCAAATTTTCTATTTGAAGTGTTTTCAATACAATTTAGTGAATTGATAAAAAATCAATTTCAAATTGATTTTATATCAAATCTCTAAAGTCTATTGAAAATACTTCAAGTAGAAAATTTGAAGCTAAAAATTTGTGAATTTTTGTCCAAGTTTGATTTGGCAAACCGAAAAAATTAAATATGGAATCTGTAATTTTATTAGGCTTATAGTAAAAGCAATAAATTGATATCATAATCAATAAGGATTAAAAAAAAAGTGGATTCTAATTAGGAAAACATAAGAACAGAGCAATCAAATTAAAATCTTGTTGAAACATAACTGAAAATTTTGCCATACATAAGAGTCTTAACCTGATTTTATTTAATTTTCAAACTTTTCAGAATTTAAACAACATTGAATCTAGTGAAATATTGGGATGAGGATTAAATAACATTGAAACTAGTGAATTATTGGGATGAGGATTATGATGATTCATCATAATTACCATCCACATTGCTTAATCAACGTTTTAAAGGTCTGAAATGTTCGATTTGATCTAAAAAACGATCTTTTGGGTAATTCTGAAAATGCAGATATTTACATTTCATAAAACGCCTCATTTTCCCAGAACCTCAACTACTATTATTTCAGAACCCAATGGGTATCCGTATCTTAGTTTCAATTGAGAAGTTTTCAAAATATACAAAGTAATCAAAAGGACAGATCAGTCGAAAGTCTGGAACATATTAAGTACTTTACAAACCCACCGCCAGTCATTTCAACCTATGGGCAGTCTTCTGAACCCTTCTTTCAGGTGGGGTTATACCAAATTAATCCATTCTTGGAAAGTGGCAGTGGCCAAAACCAACAACCGCTGGCCTATATTTCTAGATATTTCTAGAAAAAAGACCATAAATCCGAAATGTATCTTGCTCGAACGAAACTGTGATCAAACGAGAAAGGGTTTGTTTAACCTAAAACACTTCAAGTCAAATAAATAACACTTTTTAGGTCATTTTTGTATCATTGATAAATAATTTTGATTATTTTTGTGGTAATTTTTGTATCATTGATAAATAAGTTTGATTATTTTAGTGGTCAGTTTTTGTATCATTGATAAATAAGCTTGATTAGTTAGCGGTACAAAATGGTGAAATTGATTTTTTCTTTCGTGGAAATGAGAAGGGAACACCCTCACGATCAGCTAAATTTAAGTATTTTTTTTGGTATATACTATATAAAAAAAATATACAAAATTTTATTAGAGTCACTTGCTAGCACAGAAAAAAGCGAGTCTCTGAATGTATTAAGTTAACACTGAGGCATCCAATTTAAAATTTCTACTCTAACTTATTAATTTTTTTAAAACTTATGCACTTTATTCAAATTGAAGCAGTAGTTCAAATGGGATTTCGGCTAGATGCTTAGTTGATCCGGCTGCCACGAGCAATCGGCCGTGTCAGTCTTGACCAGAAGTAATCCGACCAAAGCTGTGCTCTCTGGCTGAGCCGGATTCCGACCAGTCGCCAATCGTCGTCGCCACTTCTCCAGTCTCGCTTGACTGAACACCAAAACTACAAGATTATATATTATTAAAGCACTTGAGATTAAACGCAAATGATAATAATCATGATAAAACAAACAACAGCACAAATAAAAACATGCAAGGTGTTCAACAATGTAATGTGCGCTTAAACTATTGAACTTTTTATGAATAATTTCTCTGTCAGCAAAGCTATAATTAAACAAGACTACTTGTATATCAGGGCAAATTCCTGAATGTTCCGACTGCCCTTTAATTGGTCTCGATTAGTTTATGTTCAGAAAAAAAATTTGATAAATTATAAAATTTGAACTGCACCGGCACTGGATTTCGTATATAATAATCGATTGAAATGGATTTTTATCGAAAAAAAGTGGACAATATAATCAATTAGAGATGCCAGTTTTAAAATTGAATCCATTTTTAATGAAATCAATTCGATTTTTTTTTTCGTAATAAAATAATCAATTATAATCCGTTTTTCTTCCATCATAATCGATTTTTTTTCTCCTCAAAAATTAATTATTTTACAGCTTGTTCCGCTTTGTCAGCAAGACTACAATTAATCAAAGATGAATTTTGATTTAAATAAAAAACAGCATGAAACAAAAAAAACAAAATCAGTTCACAAAATCACTATTTTTTTTCTGGCTGTTTTTTTCTTGTTGCACTTCTGTTTACCCTCCCAGTTTACAGTTTACCCGCTGCCCAAGTTTTTAACCCTTGAATGAGGGCTACTGAAGAAAAATACTAATCAAGCAAATTTCATACATTTCGTTGTAATGAAGTCGTCGAATGTTCAAAGATTTTTCGCTTGTTTTAGCTTAAATACAGCTGTATTGTCATAAATCAAAAAGAAGTTTTTTTTGTCACCAAAAAATTTTAATCATACAATTCCCATTTAGAGAAATTCTTTGACTAGCATTTTTTGACGACGAAATTTTTATTTCAATTGCAAAACGAACTTTGTACTCAAAAAAACTTCAGGAAAAATTATTAAAGGTGACTTTTTTATAATTTTAATTACTCATGCAATGAACAAGGCATACAGAAATATGCCATACAAAACAAATAGACGTTTTGAGCGTTTTTGAAAAAAGTAATCTTGAAAAACGGAAAAAAAAGTTCAGTTTTTGTATATCAAGTTCAGTTTTTGTATATGCATGCAAAAAAATTGTTTTAGAAAATGTTTGCTAGAGTACCAAATTCGTTATGCGATTGAAAAAAAAAAATTTTGGGGCGAATTTGATACTACTTACCCATCAAAAAAATGCCTGTCATAGAATTTTCATTAATGGAAATTGTATGACTAGCATTTTTGTTGACAAAAAATTTATCTTTTTTTATGACGATACGAGCAATTTTGAGCAAAAACAAGAGAAAAATCTTTGAAAATTCGATGAACTCAATTTAGCAAAATGTATGAAAAGTGTATGGCTAGTATTTTTTCATAGACTTAGTTTATGGAACTGTATGATAAGCATTTTCAGTCTATGGAGGTCAACCCGGGATTGTGGTGTCGGACTACTTTTCGTTTCAAATCGGTGATAATATGAGGTGCTTTGTTTTTCGAAGCTGCATTAGAACCTCCCGCACGTGTTCAATGGGAGAAAGGTCTGCGGAGCTGGGCAAGCCACTGGAGGCATAACAATTTTCCTCGGACATCCAGTTTTTGGACAAGTATGAAGACCCGCCGATCGGGTTACAAAAGTCGGGTTACAAAACGTTCGTACTGAGCATGAGTTCAATACTTTGTTCATGAAGCTCTGTGATCAGGGGTGGATCTAGGATTTTCTTGAGGGGGGGCGGCTTTTCAAAAAATTTTCGAAAATTTTGACGACCCGTTTTTTAATTTTCTGAGCTCTCCTAAAACAGTAAAAAGACGCTGTTTTGACTGAACTTTCAATTTTCTGCGCCGCAGGCAAAACTTTGAAAAAACAGGTCAAAAAGCCGTATTCGGGCACTTTTTGGAAAACTTTGACAAAAAATTGCGTT